CCACTAGCCTCTGGGAAGAGGATATTATTAACTGAATTATAATACATTGCATTATGACTCTTATTCTCATTCCACCTCTGGTTTTAGCCTCTTGTGCATTTTTTTCAGAGTACAGTGAGCTAGTGGATACCTTAAAAGCTGCTACTTGGTTGAGCAAATAATTTGGACTGCCCTGAAACTCCTGTTTGGAAGTTTTTTAATATTTGGAAGCCCAGACATTAAAAAGCATATAGGTATAACATGAACTAACTGTAATAGAAACAAACTCTTAAATGTCAGAACATTTTATAATATTTCACCAGGGGTACTAAAAGATTGTACTGTCTTGATAAGGATAGAGGTGTTAGATGATATGAAGCTCAATTCATTAGATGACAGAAGTCAAGGTATATAATGTATGATTTGCAGAACCACAAACTTATCTGCACAATCAAAAAGTCTTTGGCCATGATGTTCTCACTTAAGTTCAGTTTTCTGGGCCCTTATTAATTTGTTAGACACCTCAAGCACTCATCTCGGTCAGAAAATAAAGGTTGACATGTTCTCTACCATTCCCATTTTAAAAGTCAGAGATATGTTCTAGATGCAATTACTTATTAAATTATCTTATATGTCTTTATGGACATCAAAAATACCACCTCATAAACTCTAAAGGAAAGCAAGATTTGATGGGAATGAGGCTTCATGACAATATAGGAAACTCCATTTACCGTGTTAACTCTGCTGATGCTCTTTGTCAATTTGACCTTGGACCACATGACTCCATTTTCTCCTTCACTGTGTCTCTGCCATGACATTTTCTTGCTCCCAGTGAACTTGAATTTGCTGCTACTTGGGATTCCTTCCAAACTATGCAGTGCCACTGGTTTTAGTGATGATTGGTCTTCCGCACTAAACTTGCAGTTTCTTGTTTTTGTTTATACTAAAAAAAACCCATAAAACTTGTAACTAATACTTTTGTGTTCATCTCTAGATTTTACTGTGCTGTAATTGCTTTGGGTGAATTCGGGGGGAGGGTGTTGTTTTGAAGGAAATAATAATAAAATATAGTCATCGTTTCCAGTGAAGAATGACATGCAAATCTGATAATTACCTCAGATGATCTCTTACATAAAGAAAAATCGCACATTAGATTTCCTTAAAGCAAGCTCTTCCTGTCAGCACAGACTTCCCTGCTGTTCCTCCTGTTATTGCTATGGGAAATTTCAGCGGGTTGTCTTTGGGAAATTCAAAAGAGCAGCAACCTAATATTCTCTTTAAAGGGTAATGCTTTCTTGGGGTTATGGCCACCTTTCTACTCTAGACACAGCAGCCCTGTGCTCTATAGAATGAGACGTGCATAATTTAAAAGCCATTTCTTGCATCTTAATATCAACCTTTACTTGAAAAGGAGAGTCCCATTTCTCAATTTTTCCTCACCCCTTTGCCTTTCTAAGCCAATATTCCTACAGGCCAAACTCACTCAGACCTTTTCATTTTACCTCTTCCTTCCTCTGTCCCAGTTCTCCCAGAGGATCAAGATTAAACAAATTTTATTACTGTTTAATTTTCAGCAATTTCCTGTCCCCAAATGCAAGGCTCTTCATCCAGATTAGGTCATTACTTGATTCTTTTTCCCTGGTCATTTTGGGGGCATTTAGTGATTCCTAGTTTTGCCTTGTATATAGAAATATAAAACTTGATAAATTTGTGGATCAAAACTACAACTTTCTTTTGTTTATGAGATTTTTTTTTTCTTCTGAGCATATTTTCAAGGTTTGGGAAATATGCAGTCATACAACTTGTAACATTTTGGAGAAAGAGAGCCCTATTAGGTGGAGTTTGGGAGAGGGTGTTAGCCATGCTCAGAAAGAGTTGAACACCAGTTCGAATATACCTATGATTTCTTAGGCTCTCTGGTACTTAAAATTCAGTGTGAACTCCTTTATATTTGCTTTATGGTCAAGATTAATTGTTTAATGTATTAGAATTTTGTCCTAATTACATTTTTACTAAGCCATGGTTTAAAAAAAATCCCAGTTGAGTTTCATATCCTCTAGACTCTAAGCAAATAAATTTTACTCTTTTCTGAACTCTTAGCAATTTCTTTGCACTTAGTTACATATTACCCTTGATAAATATTGCCTTGATTTTCTAATTTACTCAGGTAGTGTGATTTAAATGTTTCTGTATGCATGTATCATGGTGTCTTACCACCTTATTTAGGACATAATTTGTATACCTTATTATTATCTCTACAACACTTGGCACCCTCTTTTGCAGAACCCAGTAGATGTTTTTGAATGTATTAAATGATAATTCCCTTTTAAATTATCGGTGAATCCTAAATTATTTCAGGTACATTAGCAAACCTTTTTAACCATCATTTCAAATTTAGGTTTGGAAGTCTCTTGTGATGAATTTGAATCCTTTATGATGTACACTAATAACATTACTATAAATATTCTCTTTTTTTGAGACATAGTTTCTTTGTGTGGCTCTAGCTGTACTAAAACTTGCTTTGTAGACCAGCCAGGCCTCAGTCTCAAAGTTGTGCCTGCCTCTTCCTTACAGCTGGGATTAATTGTGTGTGCCACCATACCTAACGAACATAAATAGTTATAAAATTAAGTAATGCTTATTTTTCTCTCCATTTCTCCAACATTTTCTAACTCTCCTTGTCTTATTCCCTAATTGTGGCTATTCCTTCAGGCTCTGTTATTCGCCCTTTGCTTTCATTGTATATTGAAATGGCAAGTTTACATACCACTGGACTTCAACCACGGCCTCTTTAACTTACTCCATAAGCAAATGTTTTCATCTCTACCTCATGGGCCTTATGATATTGTTAAATGATAAAAGTATAATCACTTGGGAATATTATAAATACCCAATATAAATGTTGTACACAAGAAATTAATCATTTGTTTTGCCACCCAAACCATCTGCTCTTTCAAGTTTCTTGTTTGGTTATACATCTATCATCTAAAATCTCTATGCCTTGGAATGGTCTTTCTCACTCTTCTGTATCTTTAATGTTTAGGCTATTCACAAATCTACTTTCTCTTTGTAATATCTTTAGGAGCCACTCACTCTTTTATGTGACCTTAGCATATAACTTAATGTAGGACCCTCTTTTTCTAAGTATTAGGTTACTAATATAACCTAAATATTAGGATGTACCTCATAATTACTCCCTCTGGTATTCTGGTATTGCTGTTTGTGATAGTAATGATAATGTTGGTGCAGCATAAGAAGTTGCAATTAAAGAACTATTGTGTGCTAGGCATTGTGCCAATGGATTTGATGGAGAATATCTTATTTAATTCTTACAACAGTCTAATGCGGTCATGCTGCTATCTCCATTTCAGATGTTAAAAACCCATGTCTCAAAATGATAAATAATCCAAACCTGTGGTTTGGAGTATTTACACAATATCTCCATGGCCTCATTACCAACTTCCTGAGTTATTTTTTTCACTGTTATGACAAAATTGCTCACAGAAGCAACTTAAGGAAGGAAAGGTTTATTTTGGAAAACTACTCCAGGTGATAGTCCATCATGGCATGGAAGGTATGGTGTTAGAAGCAAGAGGGAGCTGGCTGCATTGTGTCTACAGACAGGAAGCAGAGAGTGATGAGTATTTGTGCTCAACTCATTTCTCCTTTTTTAATGCAGTCTACCCAGCGTACCATATATCTTTAAGACAGTTCTTCCCACCTCAGTTAACCTAACATAGATAATCCCTCACACGTATGCCCAGAGATTTATTTCTATGGTGATTCAGAATCCCACTAGTTTCACAATCAAGATTAACCATTATAATTCCATACTTTCTCAGCTTCACACACAAACATATTAACTTAGACTACAGCCTTCCACCCCTTGTCCCCATAGGTTTATGGCCGTCTCACAATGTAAGAGGCTTTTAGTCTAAATTGAAAATTCCCCATAGTCTTTTGCAGTTACAACACTGTACAATAGTCTAAAGTCCAAGTCTGCTTTGAAACTCAAAGCAATATCTTAACTGTGAATTCCTATAAAAATATCAAAGCCAAGTAAAATTCTTTCAATACACAGTATACAGAATGAATATTCCCATTCAGAAAGGTATGAATGGTACATTGAAAGGAATCATTGACTAAAACAAATCTAAAACATAGTAGGGAAACACCAAATTCTGCAGTTTGATGTCCATGGCCTAGGGATCATGATGGAGTCATCTGGTTCTAAAGAACTTGAGTATCTGACTCTTCCAGATCAGCTGCCTGTATCATATATAGCCGTTATCTTAGACTGGCTCCGCTCAGGCCTTCAGCTTTACTCAGTGGCTCTCCCAGTATCCTGAGGTTTCTATTTCACTTTAGGCTGTGACTAAAAAGCCTTATTCAGTAGACTTTCTGGGCTGCTTTGCAGGGACTCTGACTCTCTCTGTAGATCAGTGTAAGACTACCTGATTAAAATTCTACATCTTCCATCCCTGTAAAACCAATTCCTTGTGAATGATGTCATCAAATTCTGCTGCCATATAAGGATGTAGTGTGCCCCTTTTGCTCCATTGTCTGCTGACCCTAGGGAAACTACTGAGGGGCTTTTAAAAACTCTTCTCTCATATTTTACATCCCAACCACATTTTTCCCTCCCTCCACTTCCCCCAGTCTCCCTTCCACTACTTCTCACCCCAAGATCTACTACTGCTCCATTTCCCTTCAGAAAAGAGCAGATATCCCAGGGATATCAACTAAACATGAAATAGCAAATTACAATAAGACTAGGCACAAACATTCCTAGCAAAGCTCGATGAGGCAACTCAATGGGTGGAAAAGGGTCCCAAGAGCAGGCAAAAGAATCAGAAACAACCCCCCACTCCCAATGTTAGTAGTCCCACAGGAACACTAAACTACAGAACTGTCAGATATATGCAGATGGCCTAGGTCAGTCCCATGCAGGATCCCTGATGAGTGGCTTTTGAAGAATAGGAATCCCCCCCCCCCCCCCCCGCCACCAGCAGTAGCATTCTGAATTTAGGCATTCTCCTTTCAAGTTAGTTTTTATTTTCCCAAGATGGAGATTTTTAAGCAGGGTGGGTGGATTTTACCCTTGGGACACCCTTCCTGTTGTCTCCGTGAAAAGTACCAGGTGTGTATTTAATGATGCTAATTTCTTTAAGAGTTATTGTTGCTTTCAAATCTACTTTGTTTGTAAGGTTAAACTTTTTTAAACAATATTTTCATCAACAGTTCATCTTTTAAATATCTTTGTTTCTATTTTCTTTCTCTCTGTCACTGGAAAAATGTACACAGCTGGTATACTACCTTGTATTAAAATTATATCCACAAAACAAATTACTCTACTATTCCTCTATTTGATTTTCTTAAGTTCTCAGGACATGGGTAGAATGCAGCCAGATTCCTTGCCAGAATATCATATAAATGACCTCCAGTCCAGTTCCTGTAGAGTTCTTATTCCCTTCTGAAACCTCTTAATCTGAGCCTCCATTGTCCAAATTTCTATTAGTGTTCTTGTCTTACTAACTCACACCATAATATTTCATTAAATTGTTTAAAATATTTAAGGACTTTTATAGCCCAGAGTTCCTACTTCTTCCACATTCCTCCCTCAGTCCAGTCCCAAAGGTTTACAAAGCACATACTCAGTTTTATCACAATGATTTCCTGCAAATCTGTAATATACTTTGCTCATTTTTCTCAATTCTGCCTATGCTTTAAGGCAGTGCTTCTTGACCTTCCTAATACTGCAACCCTTTAATACAGTTCCTCCTGTTGTGGTGACCCCCAACCATAAAATTATTTCATTGATACTTCATAACTATAATTTTGCTATTGTTACAAATGTAATATAAATATCTGATATGCAATTCCTATGAAAGGTCAATCAACCCCTAAAGGGTTGAGAACCACTGCTTTAAGGTTAAATGTAAGCTTATTTCCTCAGGAGATATTCTCTTAATTGTCCAACAGGCAATGGAGTTTATTTCTTTTCTTGTCTGCTGTGCCAGTTAGTTGGCATATCATACTACTTAACACAGTGCGATGTATTACCAATATGCTCTATAGTATGATGTGAACTAAGAAAACCTAACTTTAGTGAATTTGTCTTTGACACCATTTCTATCACCTTACTTATTTTCCATTCTTCTGCCTCTTGTGCATCTATAATTTTCATGTTCTCCCAATTTCTCAGCCCAATTGCTGACGTAGCCCGTCTAGCCTCTTCTCAGGAAGAAGTAACCAATCATTCACCAACTTCCCATAATGCTCTTGATTCAAACTTGACTACAGAAGTGAAATAATCTTTTTTTAGGAATATGGTACTAGTAACCCTTCAGACAAGTCTGCATTTGACACCAGTATCTGCTTTGGTTGCTGAAATTTTAGGATAATTTGGGTATTGTTTATAACAGAGGGATGGAAAGGATCTCAGAGAGTTTGGGGTAGGTTATTTGTCTTGGTACCCACCAAGATATATCATGTAAGTTACTTTCTATTCTACCTGAGTGTGCAGTTGGATTTGGCTGCAATATTTTCATCTTTTTCATGTGTAGCAGCTTCCTGTTTCTGTCTTTAAAAGATAAGCATTCTTTACAAACATTCCTTTTAAATTAATTCTTTGGGGATTTCATACAATGTATTTGGATCATATTCACCTCCTCTATCCCCCATATCCTCCCAGATCCACCCATTTTCCCTACCCACCCAACACTTTGTCTTCATTTTTATAAAATCAATTGAATCTATTCTTATAAAATACCTGCCTGGCAAATGGAATATTAGCATCTCAGTCTGAGTGTCTAGTTTTCTCCTGGACTTTGTGCTCCAGGGAAATTGGTATTTCAACCTTGAAAGCTGGGGTACTATTTATGGATACTTGAGGACAAGTAACAGTTTAGAAAGACATTAATCCCACGTACAGTCCTGCTCTTGAGTTGCTTCAGTCCATGGTATTTGGGCTCAGAACTGCGTCTCATATGGGTTGTTCCTGCAAAGCTATTTCTGAATCTTCTGGATTTACAAATCATTTGGTACCCAGCTGTTATGTTGCATGATTCATGGCTATGGGTGCCTTGCTTCAAACACTTGTCAGCAGTTTCTTCCCTGTGGTTGCCTTGTGATTCAATTGTTTTGGTGTGGTATGTAACTCCTCACATTCATTTGGGATCTGCCTCCCCCAACTTCTGTCACAGAACAAATGAGTCAGTATCTAATGGTGTTGGCTTCCAGTTTCCTCTGGTGGGTGGGTGCGAGAGAAGATGGTGCTGTGAGCTTACTGAGGAGGCTGGCTGTTGTGCTGCCAAAGTGCCCTGAAAGGGAGAAGACTGGCTACATTTCTCAGAATGAATATTCAGGAAGCATTCAGACAAGGCCAAAGTAAAGGTCGTCATTGTTCAGTAGGTGGCAGTGTGGTCTGGTTTGAAGAAACACAGCAAATTAATGCATGAGTTTATAGTGCTTTATCCTGATGCCTTTGACAGCTGACTTGAGATTTTTTTTTTCTGAGTGTTTTAGTACCTTTAGTCAAGTGCTCTTAAAAAAACTCCTCAGTTCTTTAGAAACTTCTTTCTTAGTAGTGAGTGGCATATTTTTGTGACAAGTACTGTAATCTGAAGCTTTAAGAAGCTTTGTGGCTAATTGTTATTAGCTGGACACCTTGCCTGGATTGCAGTTTCCTGCCTGGGGTGGAAGGAGCATTTGCCTTTCCTACTGTGGGGGTTATTTTGTTGAGTTAATCAGCTTTAGCCCCTAAGTCTTACTAGTTTCCTTTTCAGAGAGGAGCCTCCTAAGACCCCATGTGTCAGCTCTGTCAGGTTCCCTTCAGACTTCGGGAATCGCATATTTACCATGGCTGAGCTTAGCCTGCCATAGCAAAATGCCCTCTGTCAAACAGGCATAAATCGCACACTCTGTCTCTGCACCTTGCCCAGCACTGCAAAGCCCTTCTACAGAATAGCTTTGTTCTCAATATACAAGTAGAATCATTGAAGAGAGTTGCTTTTCTATAAGGAGCCTACTTTCTGGCACATGCAAGAAGAAAGAGAAGTTGCACTGACTAGATGGTGTCATCCTTGGGAGAATTGTTGGCTGCTTGGTTCGAATCGATAAGGCTGAAAAAAGGCTTTGTTTTACTGGTACCCCCTTTTTATTATAGATTTTCAGAATTATAAACACTGTATCTTAAGGATGAATTTGAGACCTTTGTGTTGTTTACAAATACTGGATGAGATGCCCACGGACATGTTCCCATAGTTCCAGGGGGTCTAAGTGAGACATTTGTTAGTTGAGCAATGTTCTTTGCCTTAGATAGGATAAGGAGACTATCCTCATATATACAACTGTCTCTCATTATTTATAGTAGTCACATACTCCAATTTCTAAGACAGTTGAATTAGCCAGGTTTACTATGACCCAATTGTTCAACTTATCAATATATAATTTTGTTTTCATGTGTGCTTCTGTTTAAAGACACCTCATTTAACATATTTTGTTGATTCATTAACAATGTACTCATAGCCAACAGCAACTTGCATGCCTGAATTAAGATTATCTGAGCATATTTTATCTACAAGTCATAACATTTTACATTTAGAAACATTAGACTGCACTTGAGGGCTATTTAAAATATGGAAATTAAAAAAACCTACATAACTGAAAAATATGACACTAACTATTCAGTAAAAGGAACCTTGTTTATAGTAAGAGCTAAATTTAGAAGATAGAACATTGTTTTGTCACCTGATGGTGTGCACACCAGTGACTTGTTTGTATTTGCTATGCTGACTGTGTACAGACATGTGATTGACTATGAAATGACTGCTCTTATTGGGCAAATGGCAAATAAATCTTTGGAAGGTAAGCAGTATAGCAAATAAAGAATTTGTGGCTAATGAGAAATAGTTGTATTTGTGCTATTTGGTGCCTATTTTAATATTTTATTTTGATTATTTTTAATTATATGTGCACCTAGAATCTAGAAGAGGGTGTTGGATCCCCTGGAGGTAGAGTTATAGGTGGTTGTAAAAAATCAGATGTGGGTGCTAGGAACCAAACTCAGATCTTCTGAAAGAACAGTATACACTCTTAACCACTGAGACATCCCTCCTGTCCACATTATCTATATTTTTGTGTTTGAAATTCTTAATCTTATACAGCTTCCTCTACTATAGTCAGCCATACTGATAGGAACTGACCAGGAAGTTATATCACAAGCTCTTGTGTAGGGTATTAGAGTTTCTCAAACCGTATTAATCCAATGGTTTTCAAATGCATTAGTCAGTGGTTTACTATTTAACAATTCTGTGCATTAGTTAGGCTTACAGATAGAGATAAATTAGAAAAAAATAAATAAAAACTTCATTTAGAAATGCAGATAAACAACCCCTTTACATAAAAGTCTGAGTATGTGTATTTTAAGATCAGCATTTGATTTAAGCTCAGAAACTTAAGGATGGTAACCTGAGTTCAACTTGATGACCTTTAGTAAGACTATAAGTCTCTCTGTTCTATTCTTTCTTTGTAAAAACATACAAAAATACAAAACTATTTTATCTACCCATTGTCAATACAGGAAAATAAAGCAAGTATAAAATGTTGTTGTACTTTTCCATATAACCCCATTCTTGGGCTTGACCACAATAAGTCTGAAAAAAATTCTCATTTTTAGTTTTTGATACTTTATAATTTCTGTTCTTAAAGCCACACAGAATATTATAATAGTATTTCTTCTATTTGATTTCCATTTCCTATCTCAAGTTATAAATTCACAGTTTCCTCCATTAATTCATTCATCTAATTTTGGATAATATTTGTTGAGAATCTACTATATATTTGGCATTATGGTAGAAATTTGGGGTACATATGTAACTAAAAGATAGTATTCACAGATCTTTTGTCTGTGAGGCTTTTTGTTCCTTTGTGTTGAATATCTTTAGTTTTTCACACACGGAATGAATTGATGTTTTCCCCATAGCTTTGACCACCTTCCTCTGAATAAAGCAGTCAGGTTTTTCCTCTAGAGATAGGGTCCCATATCACAAGTGATTGACAGATATTAAGAGCTATCTGAGTTTCAGTAGCAGTGCTGTGCTCTTGAGCAATGTATTTAGCCTCTTGGGATTCCCATATTCTCCTCTATTAAATGAGAAGGATGGGGTTTCCTAGGCCAATGTGGAGATTAAAGAAGATAATGCCCATAAAAACCACCTAGCTTAGTATCAGTATGTGAGTGTCTAATAAAGAGTAAAACATTTTTCTAGTTATATTTGTTAAACAGCATAAGATGACTCTGGGCATTTTGGCAGAGATACGTTTTGTTGTTACTGCCTTCTAAAGTTGTAATCACCTCAAACCCCCAATTCATTTTCTGTCTTCCAGGGAAATTACTTCTATCTTCCAGAGATGTGCTCAGATGTCAAGCCTGTTTCAACCTCTTTAAGACGCATTTTGACCATCTCTGTTTGCCTGGCTTGTATATCATCTTCCTGAGAGACGGATGTAATTTCAGTTCCAGGATCGATGTCCTTGACTTGACTTTTCTTTATCTCTGAGTTTTCTATGAATATGGAAATGTGACTAGTGGCCTCCCCAGGCTTTAGAATCTTTTCTGTAGATGAACAGATTATAAATAAAACACCTCAAGCAATAGGGGAATATGCTACCCATTCTATTTGTGCTTTGGTTCATTACATCTACTAAGCCTGATAAATCTGCCTCTATAAGAAGATTGTTGAGCAAAATTGATCCCATTTCTTAGTATGATATATTTAGTGATGGTTTGGCTGCCTCAACCTGCTTCATCCTTTTGTTTTAAGACTTTACCTGGATTAGTGTTTCTGAATTTATTTGTTGAATGCACACACAAACACATGTATAGTTTCCTCTGTCACTGATTTCTGGCAATATTAGGTGATAATTCAGCGGGAGAAATCATGATAGGGAATAAAGGTAATGATAGGAAAAGAGAACTGTGACTTACATAGATTATGCAGATAAATGTAACCGGGCACATAGTCCTTTGTGTTAGTGTAATCTATACCAACTTTAAATCAGGAACAGGAAAATAGACTTGAGGATGTGTTGAAGATCTTGATTTACTCTATGTGATCCTTGGAAAATTTATGTCTATTTATGTGGTACATAGTTAGTTCTCTTTGGAGATGCCTATTTATTTATTACTAGTTGGCTTTACTTGGTTGCCAAAAATCACTACCTTTAAATTTACTCCTCTCCACCTAATATACCATCAGTATCCATTGCCACAAATTGCTTAATGTTTCTTTGCTAACATAGTTATGCTGTCTATTGACAGAAGTTAGGAAAGGAGGAAAGTGTTCAGGTTATACAGGGGAATGGGAAATTTGAAGCTGTATGGAGATAATGAAGTAAGAAAAAGCAGGTGAGAAGGTTAAAATGTGATGTCAAAACCTGTCTCTTCTTAGGCCTCAGAAAGATGTATCAGTGGCTTGAGATATATGTTCTAAAAGTCATTGTTAAGAAAATCTACAGATTAATGCAGTTTGTGGAAATCAGTTTACCCTCGTCATTTGATTGGGTCACAGATTTCATCATCTGATTAACTGGTCACTAGTAAGTTCATGTTTGCTTGGTTGACCATAATGGAGAACCCTAGATAAAGTGGTCCTATTTCTTTCCATAGAGAAGGACATTGTGTTGTCACTGTATACCCCTTGGTCATTTTGTGAAAAGAGAATCTACTTTTAATTTGTCAGATACAATATATGATGCTTTGTCTTTATTTGATAAATACTTTCTTGTACATCCACACAGTTGAAACTTGGACCTCTGGGTAGGAATGGCCACATGCATGTGCATGAGCCACCTCACTCTATGGTATAGATCCTGGGACAGGAAAAGAAGGAACAAGCCAGAGTCTTGGGGCCCTTTTTCATCACACCAGTATATTCTGATTTAGATCTCTGGAGAATCTGTTAATTCAAAAATTGAACTTTCACTTTGAAGTTGTATATACTTTTTTCAAAGTAGGAGGAGAGAACGTATTTAACTATTCTTAAATATATATGTATGTTATATCTTATATAATTTATATTATATATAATATTACATATAATATATATACAAAAATATGTGTAGACATCTGGTATGTGGGCTTCCATTTGTATTCTTGTCTCAGGCTCCACAAATGCTAATTGAAGGCCTCTAATGATGGCAGCAGATTACTAAATGAGAGTTTTATGCCATATGTTTTAGGCCTAAAATCTTTTTAATCTTAATTTAAATCTTTATATGAACTGTGTGAATTTGGTACTGTTAGTGTTCTCACTTATTGAATATGCAAGCTGAGGTTCAGCAGATCACTGTATCCAAGGTCAAAGAATGAATGATAGCATTGAGATAGAAACTTAAACGTTGCTGGGGGTATGATGGTACAATACTTTAATAGCATTATATGGAAGGTAGACTCTGTGAGCTGGTGGCTAACCTAGTCTATGTAATAAGTTTCAGGTCTGCTAACACTATATAGTGAGACTCTGTGTCAAAGAAAAAAAGAAAAAGAAAAAAAAGAAAGGAAAGCATCTCAAACCTTCATCTGAGTACGTGTTATAAGCCTTGAAGTCAGAATCCTACCTCTTTTACTTGCTGGCTCTTTGATCTGATACAAGCTATTGACCTCTCACTTTTAGTGCCTCAGTTTTGTGAATGAACTCTGAGATGAATAACATAGGCTACTAGATATCTCTACATGATCATTTCTCTTATTTTTAAAGATAATTTTTCTTGTCTTTAAGAAAATCTAGAAGTTATGCCCACCTGAGACAAAGATATTTCCGAGACTATAATGTAGTAAAGTGTGGTTATGTGACTAACTTTGGTTAGTGAGAAATGAAAATATTATGTGCAATTTTTGTTTTGCCTTTAAAGGGAAGGAGATCCCTTTATTTACTCTTACCATTGGTGAGAATGTGGAAGTAATAATGAGACATCATTGATATGTGTCAACTCCTATGACAATGGAGCAATTGATAAGACTTGGCACTATCTAGTTATCATACCAGTACTAGTCTGTGTATGTCTCAATCATTATAAAAGATAACCTAAAAGATACATAGTTCTTAAAAATTAGCCACTGTGACATTGATTCAAGATAGCAATGGCTTCCCATACCTGGGGGAGTGCAGAACTGCATTTAAAAAGTGGTCTCATAGAATTGGAAGAAAAGATGGCTGTGTGTAGCCGCCTTGTGCAGTGGAGAGAAGCAAAAGTAGATGTGGTAGTGGTGATGACAGGTATGAGAACGCGGCCAAGGTGGACAAATGAACATGATTTTGCTGAGTAGGGCCTGTCCTTGGCCCCCTGGGAGGCTTGGGCCAGTGGCCTGACCTGTGGCATGTAGCTGCTGCTGCTGCTGTAGCTCTTGCTATTCTCCCTGCTGGGGGAAGAAGAGTGCAGTGGTGCTGCCTTCTTCTGGCTGCAAGCATGGTGGTCATGCCCAATGAGCCAGTGATGCAGTAGCAACAGGTATGGGAGCACAACTGTGGTGGACAAAGGAGCATGTCATTATAGAGTAGGGCAAGCAGGGTGGTGTGCAGCAGCCTGGAACTCACAAAGGCTCTGGGTCGCTGCCCTGCCCCTGGCTCTTCCCTCTGGTCAGCCAGGGTGAGGGGGTCATTGTGCTAGTGTAAATGGTCTGTGTTTCCTCTTCAGGTGGCCATGTTAATGTCTGTGAGCAGGGCTGCTGCAGAAGACCATGTTGATGTCTGTGATCCTTACTGTGACTGGAAGCCATGTTGATGTCTGTGGTCCATGTTGCCACCAGAAGCCACGTTGAGGTCCATGGTGAGGTCCATGTTCTGTGCTGCTGCTGGAGGCTATGTGGATGTCTATAGTTTGTGCTGCTGCCAGAAACCATGTGGGAGTCTATGATCTGTGGTGGTGCTGCTGGCTGTTATGGGCAAGAAAGCTCCTTTGCAGTGATATTCATGACTGTAGACTCATTAGTGAGAATAAGGTACATGAAGGCTTCTGTGACAACTCCCCCCCCCCCCCCCGCAAAGAAACAGTTCAGACAGGAATCTCTTTAAACAGAGTCCTTAAAATTGGGATAAAGATGCTGAAGTGTAACCCTTCACAGTTGATGGCTTCTGGCAGGGTTGGGGTGGGAAAAGACTCAATTATCTTTAAGGAATTGGGTACTAGGAGTTTGACTATGCTCCACTGTGTATATAGGCAACTCAAATTGGACTTAGTGTATTTTTTTCTTTTGCGGGGGAGGGCACAAGGGTGGGAGGGTGGACCTGGGAGGAATGGGAAGCAAGTGTGATGGGGTGCATAGTGCAAAATTCCAAATAATCAATTAAAAATATTATGTTGGGGCGAAAAAAGGAAAAAAAATCAGAATACAATCCAGAATTGATAATGGACCAAATATTAAATTTTTAAAAGTGGAAAAAATTAGCCACTGTTATTTTGAATCTCTTTTTCATAAGACAAGCATCAATTCTATGACAAATAAGAACCTGAAAAGTTTTAGTAACAAGCAGTATGGTATAGTAGAGTCATATGGCTAATTTTCTTTTCTATCCTTCCTTCCTTCCTTCCTTCCTTCCTTCCTTCCTTCCTTCCTTCCTTCCTTCCTTCCTTCCTTCCTTTCCTCCCTCATTTTCCCTCTCTCCCTCTCTCTCTCTTTCTTTGAAGAACCTCTACAGTGATGGCCACAGGGACTGTATTAGTTTACATTTCCCCCAACAGTGTTTAAGGGTTTCTGTTTCCCTACATCTTCAACAATTATTTTTCTCTGTTTTTTAATGTTTAATTAAAAATTTTACTTATGTGTATGGGTGCTTTGCCTACATGTATGGTGGTATACCACCTGCATACCTGCTGTCCATGGAGGCCAGAAGAGAGTGTGGATCCCTTGGAACTGGAGTTACAGACAGTAGTAAATACATTGTACACACTGGGAACTGAAGCAGGTTCTCTAGAAGAGCAGCCAATGCTCTTAACCATGGAGCAACCTCTATAGCCCTTTGTTTATTTAATTTTATTGTGACAACAGGTTTAAAGTGTCAGAGTAGAATTCCCTCCTAATAAGTGGACCTTACATCCAATTAGATGATTGTTACTTATCCCCCACCACAGATATGTGCCACTATTGAAGTTTTTGGAATAGTTTGCTATTCTGGCTATTGTTATGGTTTGTAAGCATTACCATCGATTAGGACTGTTAATTGCTTTTCTGTCTTGGCAGTTTTCATGGTACCTCAGGGGGATGGCTTGCAGGTGAGTTCCAGCTATATTCCTCCAAGTCCTAAATCTGAAGTTTGTGGTGTCTTCAGCAATAGGCTATGAACTTCAATTTCTGGTAAGTAATCAAGGACAATGATAATAGCCTATATTGTTTTGGAGGTCTCTTGGACTCCCCTGAATAACAATAGGAAAGAAATTTTCACATGTTATTAGATAGTCTATGGCTTTTGGGGAGAGCATTATTATCCCAAGTAGCATAACTTCATTATATATTAATTTAAATATTAAATATATTTAAACATATATAAATAAATATTAAATATATATTTAAGTAAACATAAAATAATATGATTCCCTACAGCTTTTTCAAACATCTACATGCTTATTTATCTCTCCTTTTTCTATTGCTTACCCCCAGGTAAATCTTTCCACCCCTGTGTTCCCATTTCCCCTTGTAACAGCACCTGTATCCTGCTCTTCTACTTTCTAGAGCTCTTCCACCTCCTTGGCTCCTTTTCACTTTCCTAGTATCTACAGTGACTTCAGCCTATGTACTCACATCTAGACATTCGACCTAGGACCTACTCATATAAGAGAAAATGTGGCATTTGTCCTTCTGGGTCTGTGTTACCTCACTCACTGCAATGTTTTCTACTTCCATTCGTTTACCTCTAACGGCATGATTTCATTTTCCTTTACAGCTAAAAGAAAGAGTTTACCTGACCACATTGCCATCCCCAAATCCTGTATTTCTTCATCTTGGTCATAAAGATATCATCAAATTTCTTTTACAATCAAGAATTACTTGGTCAACTATTTTTTTTCCTGATCTAACACTTGAAAGTACTTTTCATACAACTAACTAGTATAAGGTTCTTCATTTTATAGAGCAGTTTTATTAGCAATTATAAATAACATAGAAATAAGAAGCTTGATAAGTGATTTAGGGTTTCTATAATTTAATTGCTTATAACACTTAACAAAAATGAAGATATATCTTACATTCTGGATCATACTTAGATTCAGTACTGTTAGACACAGTTACTTCATGGCACCCTAAAAGCAGTAGTAATTAATTCCATCAATGCTCATTTTCTCACTGAATCCAGAAATCTCTTTATAAAATAAAATAAATGCAATAAAGTTTGTCATTCTACAGATATAATGAGGTCTTGGATTTCAACCACTGTTAGGAAAAGAACAAAGTATACTACTTAAATTGGCATATTTCCGTTTCATTTAATGAGGAAAGATTTTGATGAAAGGAGAGGTAGAGTTGATGAGCCTACTGGTTCCTTCGTTAGTGGAAAGGTTGATTTAGAAGAATGCACATAGGAAGGGTAATAGTACAGAAAAGCTTAAATAACACAGTAAATCCTTTTTGCACTGGGAAGTCAGATATACGTCATCTGCTTTTAACTACCTTTCGACAGAGCCTTGAAATTATGTGTCAGATATGCCTGTTTTCTAAGTTAACCAAACTGTTTATGTGATTCTGGCAGGTGTTGAAGCCAGGGGGCCCTTTGTGTGCTGCTAGGGGTGGGCAACAGGAGGATGGTGAGTACTGGAGGGAGGGAGGAGCCCAAAGCAGTAAAAAGATTCAGAATAGGAGCAACTGAGTGGTTGAAGACCCAGATTCTCTAATTAACAATTCGAGGGTGTTGCCCAGGGCATGACTGTCCATATGGCCAGAACCTTCACCCCTGTTCATATTCAGACACAGATCTAGCCTTGAAAGTTCCCTCCAGAGGCAGTTCTGCCTATCCATTTTTTCTCTAGTTTGCATTTCTGCTTTTTCAGCCTTCTGCACAAATGCTTTCTTGGCAGTATGTTTTTTGCATACTTCTCTCTAAAGGCTGGACATTGATAAATTTGGCTGCACTCCTTGTGGCACATTCAAGCATTAAAGAATCTGCCTGTGTGTCTATTTCCTTCTTTGTTTTACATCTTGCAGTTTCCAACTGAGGTCAGTCAGCAGGCTGAGTGATGAAAAGGACTGTTCTATTCTTGCCCAGTGCTTAAGGAAGTGTGTGTTAGACCCCATTTCATTCAGTGTGCTGCTTCTTTGCCACAGCCCTCAGCTGCCTCATCAGCCTCAGCTGCCTCAGCTGCCCTGCTTGTTGAGACTGAATTATGGTCCCTGGTGGAAATAACTATGAATGATCTTCAAGGAAATAATATAGACTAAGAGTAAGCCAGATCTGGAACTCAAGCCTCCATGGTTTATGTGACAACATCCTGCTGAAAACCTTCATGGGAATGTTTCTAATGATGCCAGGGCTGGACTCCTATCTCATTTGACTCATGGAGCTGCCAACCACAGTGCTTAGGAGACCCAGAAGACCAACAGCAGCAGAAATGACAGCAAGGATAATTTATTGAGGCAAGGGTAATTTATTGACTTGATAGCCTCTGATCCTTAGGTGTTTTTCTATTGTAGATATGCTTAATGCAAAGGATGTCTGGGTGAATTTCAATTCACTATCATTTGCTCCCGGTTCCCTCTGTCTTCATCCCTGCTTATGTACAGTCATCTAAGATTTCCATCGACTTGAGTTTCATTTACTGTTGTTCTCCTCCTTGTACCTTAAGACCAGAAAGCCTTCCTTTTTATTATTGTTCATGCAGAATCCTGCACAACAGTCAGCTTAATATAGTTGTCCACATTTGTTTTGGAGGGGGGCAGGAGGAATCATGAATCTACATGTTTATATCATGATTGTTACAATGGCTTCTTAGAGGCAATAGCTACCTGAAGGCGTCTAAACTACTTAAAGTGCTTGAGATAAAATAAACGTTATTAGGGGTTTACCACACTACTTTTGATTAGATGTTCAAAGGTAAGGTTTGTGAATCTGCATTTCAATAAAATTCTTAAATGACTGTGAAGCACGAGTATTGAAAATGCTTCTTCTCAGCCCTAATGGATACATGTATATCACAGTTCCTGCATCTATGGGTCAGGGAACATTATGGAAGAGGGACACAAAGATTGTGAGCCAGAATATCAGAAAGTTTTCTGTCAAATAATCTCTCATAGAAATGGCTGCATAAACAATACCAGAATAATGACAATGTCAACGGACATGCAAAGGGGAAAATATTGCAGGGTCCCACCCCTGGATTAAGAACTATTGGCAGCTAATGATTGCTAGGAGAAAGAGAATTAACTTTTCCCAGGGAAAGCCTCCTTATAGGCTGTCCTTATAGGTAGTCAGCACTGAAACCAAATACACACAAACAACAAAAGTGAACTCCATAAAACACACATACATACATGCACACGCACACACACACATACATATATACATCTTCTATGTTATATATAGGTTATACAATACATATAATATGTAGGTTATATAACATATATATGCCACAGGAGATACACACACACACACATACACACACACACACACACACACACACACACACACACACACACACATATATGTATCTCCTATGAGAAAGAGGGAAAGTGATGTAATTCTATTTCAATTAAAATAAATAAAAGAAAATTAAAAAAAGAAAATGGTATTTGCAGTTTTAGAATTAAAACATTAGTTGCAGTTATGCAAACATGATATGAGGAATAATCATTATTGTTGATTAACTGAAACAAGTTTGCCTTTAAAACTGTAGTGTGTGTGTGTGTGTGTGTGTGTGTGTGTGTGTGTGTGTGTGTGTGTGTGATTGTTTTTCCTCCCCTCAGAGTCTTGATTTGTCTTTCAAGAACTGTTGGTTGCTTCTCTTATGCATGGGAAGTTATACCTGTGCCTGTACAACTGTAAGTTGTACACGGCAGGAACATATTTCATTACAAAAAAGGAACTCAGGGTTAAAGAAATGGCTTAGCAGTCAGGACCACTTTGTGTTTATCTACAATTACCTGAATTCAGTGACCAGCACCCATGGCAGGCATCTCACAATCAGCTATAACAACACTTCCAGGAGATCTAATTCCTTCTTCTGGAATCCATTGACACCTGAACACATGTAACACACATATAAAAATAACACACACATATACATTTTAAAATAAATATAGTCTAAAACAGAATTCAATTTAATGATTTAAAAACAGCTATCACTTGAAAGATGAAAGGGAGATTGTTAGTAAACATGAGTCTTCAAAGGATGACTTATTTTCTCTCCAGTGGTCTTATTCTCCTCTCTGTAGAGACTCATGCTAAGGCAGTACCCTGGGAAGTAAGATAGAAAGAAGAAAACCAAAGTAGGTTATAGACACATTACCATTTGGGCATCTTTTCACATGGGTAGTTGTTTTCAAACTCAGGTATCTAGAGTCAGTGAAAAGATACCTAACAAATAAAAATATGACTTAAATTCCACTTTGCAGCTGGTACCTGTTCTGAAAATTGGTATGATAACTTATCCATACTCATATTAATGCAGTAGATTCTCTGCTTTCAGAGAAGCCAAATCTGTATAGTAATGCATCACTCCTCCTACTGTAAGCTACAGGGCTTCTTGGTGGCCATACTGTGGTCTGTGCAAGGGTGATCAGTGGAACACTTTGGTTCACTGTACCATTGTAAATCTGGGGGCACGCATTTATCTTTTTCATCATTGCTCATCAAGTCAATCGTCGAGTTTGGATTTGTGAAAAATATCTTTCTACCCAACAATTTTGATTTTGAGCAAAGGAGTACAACTGATGATTACTGAGATGAGCAGTTACATATGCCTGTTAAAGATCAAATGGAAAACTTTCACAAGGTATTTTCCCTTTGATAAATGTTTCTATCTCCTCTATATAGAATAATTTAAGACTTAAAAAATGTAACATCATGTAGAAATGTTTTTCTAGACTTTACTTGTTGAGTTTAAAAAGCGTAAGTTCATAAGAAAGTTTATAAAAACATGTGAGAAGCATCACCTTTATTAACTTTGTTTTTCAGAAGCAAATGGGAAAAATGAGGTAAATTATTGCATTAATGCTTTTGCTATGAATCATGGAGCCAGAGAAATAGAAAATGTTGACAATAATCAAGTTTTTCTTTTTTAATACTAGTTATGTGTGAAGAACTGTATCTGTCCTCTTTCTATGATGCAAAGACATCCCTCTGCCTGTTCCAAGTAGACAATCTCATTTGAGCTTCTGGGAAGAGTAATTCTGCTGTTAATGAAACTAATGAAGTGATGATTTTGTAATTTTATGGTCATCACGTTTCTTCTCTAAACTGCCAACCATTTTCTTCACCCTTAGTATCTTTTTTAGAGTACTTTATTTGTCATACTGAAAGTGAGCACCCCAGGACAGTCTCATGTGATCTTTTCCTCCTTGCTACGCTGATGATGTTTACATGGGTAACAGATTCTCCAAGAATACTTAATTTAGAATTACAGAGGCTGATTCAATTAGACTGTTGGATCAGAATATACATAAGATGTTTAGGTAGAACAATATAGTGGATGTATAGAGATAAGAGACCACAAAGACAACAGAGACAGAGAAGAAGGCAGAGTAGCTGGCCTTGGGCTTTGTAGATTCTAGTAAGTCCATCCATATTTCTATTCTAGAAATGAGATTTTATTTGAATATCTGTTTTTTTAATTCTGTTTTTTTTTGGGGGGATTTCCCCCATTGTATGTAAGACCTGTATTGGAAATAATTATAACTTGGTACACAAAAGTTTATATTGTATTTTCAAAAGCCTTTTTTACTTAATATATCCTTTAGGAGTTATAATTGAGACCTCAAATGAAAAGTAGTCTTGCTTTTAATCATATAGGTAAAGTAAGGCAGAATCAGACTTGAAATATATGGCTTTTGCTTCTATACCTAGCCACTTACTAATCACTAAACAATTTTTTATAAGTTGGTATATCTAAAAGGTGAGGAAAGGTTCTAGTAAAATGACAGCATGTAGCTTGTCTTTAAATAGACATGATAATCTAAGAAGTCCATCAAGAAACCAAGGAGATTCTGCAGCAAATGTTCCTGTTTGAACCTCTTCTCTTAAGTGAAGGTCATACATTTGAAATGTCTTCCATTGTCCCCCTGTGCCTCAATCTGTAAGAGAATCAAATCCAAATCTTGCCTCTAAGAGCATTCACCCAACTTTACCTCTTGGCAGCTGCTGCCAGTGGAGGTATCAATGATACAGTTCTTGTTGGTTATTTCTATGTCAACATATGAAATATAAAATCATCCCTGGAGTGAAACTGCATGCCAAGTCAACTAGAAACAATTTTTCCAGGGAAACTAAATAAGACCTGAAGATCATCTATTTCCATGGTAGTGCTGATAGTTCTTAGATTTAATGAAATATGTAGTGCTGCAAATTAAAAAAAACTGTTAAGCAGTTATGTCTTCTTTTTTTTTTTTGGTTTTTCGAGACAGGGTTTCTCTGTAGCTTTGCGCCTTTCCTGGAACTCGCTTTGGAGACCAGGCTGGCCTCGAACTCACAGAGATCCGCCTGGCTCTGCCTCCCGAGTGCTGGGATTAAAGGCGTGCGCCACCACCGCCCGGCCAGTTATGTCTTCTTTAAACCAGCCTAAGTGTGACATACTGGATATATGTCAGTGGCTCAGTGATATTTTATTTTTTTAAGTGATTACCAATTTGTCTTTTGAAAAATAATAGTAGAGACCATGAGTGTGGTTTTGAGGGAGAAGCCTCAAAGATGGTTTTAAGGGCTATTTTATGTTGGATTGATAGATGTTAAGCATGTCAGAAATTATATCCTAGCTTAAAAGTATTTGGATTTTGTTCAGTATTTCACATGATCTTTGAAGGTTTTTGTTCCAATTGAAGCAAAAGAAAACTAATTAGATCATGGAAAACAATGTTCAGTACCTTTTATTTATAAACAAAAGTGAAGAGTGATACTGAGGAAAGAACCGTCTGAAACACATGGTCCAGTGAGAAAGTCTGGATTAGGACATATTGGTTGACAAACTAGAGTTGTTAAAATCTATGGGAAATCTTATAGTAAAGAAGCTTGTTTGAACTTGAATTCAATCAAAATTCTAAAACTGCTTGTTCCTTTTTTTCATATATAACTTCATATAAATCTAATATCCTTTGGAGAATACTGGCTTAGACTATGGCTTACAAAAGACAAGTCAGTGGGGTTAAATGAGAATGAAGTATATATGTATACATTTATCTATATATAAAGAAGTCTTAATGAAACCCACTAGTTTGTATGAAAACCAAAAACCAAAAAAATGAAAAAAAAAATTGGTTGTAGTCCTGGAGCTTAAAGTTACTGCATTGTACATGATAAGAAAATATTCTGACACTGAGCTATATCCCAAGGCCTTCAAATGAACGTATTGTTTATGAACCATAGCTTTGTGTAACAATTACCTGAGGGGTGTAGATGTATCCAACCTTCTTATTAAATAATAAACACAGAACCAATGCAAAGAAGAAAGCCAAGAGGTCAGAGCTAAGAGCTAAAACCTTACCCTTCCTCCTGCGGTGGTCCTACCTCTCCGAACCAGAGCTACCCCTGTGTTAAAGTCTTTATATAGAGTTCTTGTCCTGCCTTCTCATTGGTTGTAAACCCAACCACATGACCGCCTCCTCACGGCCTGTCTGTATAGGCCTCCAGGTTTTCCATGATTGGTATTAAGATTAAAGGCATGTGTATCCAATAATGGCTGTATCCCTGAACACACAGAGACTTACCCAGCTCTGCCTACCAAGTGCTGGAATTACAAGCGTAAGCTACCACTGCCCTGCTTTCCTATGGCTTGCTAATAGCTCTGACCCCCGGGCAACTTTATTTATTAACATACAAATAACATTTTAATACAAATAAAATATCACCATAGAGGGGCATCTAAAAATTTCATTGCAACAGCTCTACCTTTGTTGATCATATTAGAATCTCTGAGAGTACAACTATTGT